TTTCTGTCCCAATAGTTGTCGAAGAGTCGGGAGACACCGTGATGACACCAGAAGAGGGAGAGGAGGAGGTGTTAGTGTTAGTGATGGTAGTGGTGGTGGCGGCGGCAGAGGAAGAAGGGAGGAGGAGGCCTGTGTTAGCAGTGAGTGATGGCACAAAAATGCGGTTTCCTGTGATGGGATCGAGGATGGAGATGGCGGATGTTGCATTGGCCGACTCCGTCATCAGAGCATAGACGTCTGCTGGTCGTTCCGAGGATTGGTGGTGGTGGTGATGATGATGGTGGTGAAGGAGGAGGCAACTGGGTGGAGATACCTCTGTCTTTGGTGCCCTGGACGACACTTCAGCGGTTGTGGTGGCACTAGGCTCCACGAAATGCACATTCTGTAGACAGCCATCCAATTGGTAGTAGGGTTTTAGGGTCACGTAAGCCTCCGATGATTTGGGATCGTTGGTCCAGATCTCGGTGTGAACCAGAGCCTCCGTGGAGATGGGGAGAGTGATCAACTCCGTCGGGTTGTGGTTCTTACCCACTGACGCCTGACATCCAACCAGCTGGTTGATGCACTACAGGGGAAGGAATAGGAATGAGATCCTGTGCCCAATTGGTGAAGAACACAATCTGTATGGGATTCCCTATTCCTCATTTTCAAAGCTGTCTTGGATGTACTCGAGTGGAGAAGGTAGTAGCTACAAACGATAATAATTGCTCCATACGGAAAGGACGTCCCTGAGGCGTGTGGTCGTGTCAGTTAGTTCACGCATCGAATCAACCACTTTCAAATGGAACTCAATGAATGGAAGGCATTCATTCACAAGCCCATCACCGTGCAGGCATTCATGATGCGGCCGCCACGATTCCCGGTGCGCACAAAAACACTCGGCATTTCATACGGGAACCCACTTGTGAATTCGCCTGACAACACTCCGGTCGACCTCTCGCCACCACCTCCACCTCGTTCCGGACAGCGTGAATGGACACCGGTTGAGGCATCCTTCACCACACCACCTCTACCTCTCCTTCATCCACCCGTGATATCCAGATTCCACCCATTAATCACATCTCCACCTGCTCAACCACTAACATGAGTGTTGATTCGAAAGTGTGGATTGGAGGTTGACGCCTTGGAATGCGACGTGGGATTGTTGGACCCACCGAGGTGCCGGTCAGACATGGGAGTGTTGCTTATGATTTAAGCCCACAGCTACTCCCTCTGATCTCACCACTCGACTGCACGCGGCTGATTTTGCGACGGCGGCACCTAGCACACCTCCATTACTGCATTCACGCTCCTACCAGTTGGATTTCCGACACGTCTCTCTCCACTCAATGAAGTGTAGAACCTGACCATAAGAGTGGTTAGGTCCAAGGTGGTGGTGGTGGTGGTGGTGGTGGTGTAGTGGACCTGAATATTTGGCAATCGGTGTGGGAGCCTTGCTTGAGTTCTCGATTTCGGACCCCAATTTACCTACTTCACTCACATCTCTCGAAGTCGACCACGTAGAAGTGATTGGTCGCACGACCTTGAGTCAGGAAAGTGGGAGTTGACATGCAACATCCACCCTTCATGCCAGTCAAAGGTTTACAACAAACGACCTGAAATTGTCTTCCTTAGTTTATTTCCATAAGCGAATCCCATCAACCACTTTGACCTCGTCACTCACCTTCCTGTTACCCACACAAATGGCGTCCATTCACTCAATCAGAGTACGTAAGAATCCATTACAAAGCTGAGACGGCGATAAAGCTACTAGAAATCTTAGAATTGCACCTCCTTTGCCTGCAAAAGCTGCCAAATTTTTCCCACATTCAAGTAGACATCGAGTGTCAAAGATGGCAGTGACTGCGTGATTGGGAGCAGGCGAATCATCTTCCAAAAGCCACTCCCAGTCGATCCCAGGAAAGTTCACTTTTACCTTCTTGTGGAGACCTCCAATGAATGACAAGGGTGAGCAGTGGTGCTGTGGTAGTGGGGACACAACGTAGATGTGATGTCAACCCACCGTGTTTGCCTCTCCGAATCATCATACACTTCTACGTCCATTTGACTGGTGCCATTGTAGCAAACCTTTCCATCCTTTATCCACCTTCTCCAACTTCTGGCGTTACCAAGGCGTGCATAAAGTGGGTGGAACAGACCATCTCTCACTTTGGTCCCACCACTCATCCCTGGGCAACTCCATTTCGGGGTCTCAGAAGTGAGGAAGTACTCTAAATGATACCCCCTCAATCGTGGAGCACCCAGGAGGTAGTGGAGTTGAATCAGGTCTACTGCTTGGGGTTTT